GCATTTTGAAACAAATGTGTTATTGCAATTCAAGATATTGCAAGTACAGTTATTAGCACAAAGGCAACTTTAGTTCTTGTCCATAAAATACAATTAGTTAACTTCTGTGGAGCATTGATTAATTTATAGATGCTGTTGCCAAAATTAGAAATATTTTTGGTAACTAATAGAAAAGTATTTTAATAGGTAATGAGATAAGGTGTGGTCAGAATAACAGAGATGCCTGCTTGGGCCAAACCATGTCAGCTTCTCCACCTGTGCAACGATTTCATTATTTTTATTGGTCAGTGTAATTGACAGAACTGCCACAAACATGAATGAGCAACACAGAGGGCATTTTTGCATTCATATTCTTCATGATGAGAGTTTATGTTTTATGTTAATACCACTTTTGAAAGTGGTTATTCATCATCATTTACATGCAGTGCCTGTGCTACTAAAAAAGACAATCCTGGCTATTGTTCATTCACGTATAGAAGAGTTTTGATTTTTTTTTTTAAACCTTCCATTCCACACTTCATGAAAATAGATAAAACTCTGACTTTCCTGTCTGAATCCTTTGGGTCCAAAGGCACTGATACGCCTTCTCCTGAGCTCATCAAGTCCAGGTGTCGCAAGTGTGTGGTGGTGGCTTTCCCCAGCGGGCCTGGGAGCACCTTTTCCAGAGACCCAGCGCTCTGAGTCCCCAGTCAGGGGCACAGCCTTTGGGTGCCATGCAGCACCTAAAGCCTGGCATGTGGACCAGGCTTTTGAGAATGGCATTGAGGTGGACAGGCACACGTTAATTCCAGCTGCTTCCCTTGGAGAGAACAAGCCAGAACCTGGAAGTGCCGGCTCCCTGACAGGAAGTGGAAACCTGCATGGGGAGTTGTCAGCCCAGAGGCCCTGTCCTGGCCGGACTGCTGGGGCACTGCTGTGATAGGAAGCAGACTCCGGGCTCTCTGCTGTCATCCTCAGCCTTCACATCACCCTAGCATCCAACTGCCCAGGCTTTCCTGTTCAGAAGATGTCTGGGGCCTCCTAGCCTCATCCTTCAGTTCCAGTTTGCAGCAGAACCACTGCTGGTCCATTTGGCCTGGCCCACATTTTCCACATGCATTTTCCTGGCCCACTTCTGCCATCAGTAGAGTCCTTTTCATCGAGTCATAAATCCAGTGGAGGGAACAAACACACACAACAAAACCCACACAGTTCAAGTTCATGAATTGGTGTTGGATGGGAGCGAAGGGAAGGAAAGTTGATTCAGATTTGGAAGACATTGAATTCATCCAGCATTTGTTGATTGACTCCTGTGCTGGGAGCTGGGGTTGCTGCATTTGTTCCTTCTTTCAGAAGCGATACTCCTGGTTAAATAGAGAACCCTTTTCTCTAAAGTCAAACTGACTTCCAATCTAAGGGACGATCTCCTGGACCTGTCCCTTAGCTGTTCTTGGGCGAGGAGAGTGGGGACGAAGGGGGAGCACTGATGTGACTCATGTGATGATTATTCCATTGTTCAAAGGGCTGGATGTTATGTAATCAACATTTTATCCCATCCCCCTCCTCTTTCCCCCTAACAATCTGGGATTTTCCAGCATTTTGTCAACCTTCCTGGAAGTGTGTTGATTTTTCCACTAGGCTTTTTTGGGCATGTCCCAGGGCAACCCAAACTCTCCACTCCCTATAACTTCAGATCCCCCTCAGTGCAGGGCCTGGGAGAGCCACAGCAGTGGACCCTTCTGTTCTTCTAGGGCACAGGGCAGACTCTGGGCAGTTTCCTGATAGCACCGCTCAAAGCAACTGGGGGAAAGAGCTGCCTGCCCTTCTTTCTTGCCACGTAATTTCCATTCATTTTGATATTCAGAGGCAATATATTTGTTTCTTTTTTCAGAGGTCACCAATTATCATTTTTTTTCCCCTCCTATGTTTCCATTTTATCCAGCCAATAACACGTTACTTACATCCAGGGAACTTTTTAACTAGCCAGGGTTTAGAGATGGCTGGTGGAGGAACTTCTCCAGTGGCCCTGCCATTTTCTGTCAGTTTCAGATGCTACACTGAGGATTCACGGTGAGCAAGAGGGCTTCTGGAAATTACTGCAGTAAAGTACATCGCTGTCTAAAGGTCACAGGACACCTAGTAGAAATTCTCAAGTCATTTCTTTGCTTGCTTGCTTTTTGTTGGAAATTGTGCCTGAGGTGAATTTGGAGGATTTTTAACTTGAACCATATCTATGTATCTTGGCTTTGAACGTGGTCTGCAAGTACAAGAGGGACACAGCAGAGATAAAGATGCACGTGGCAATAGCAAAGGAGGACACATTTGTGGATCTGCAGATGTTGATTCCTCATGCTTCTTCACCACCTACATAAATCAAGTTTTATAGGTGTTACCTCCTATACGCATGTCACATCTGACCACTTACGTTTTCTGCAGAGCCATCTTCCTAGCTAAAGCCACCATCATCCCTCACCACAACTGATGCAAGAGCTTTTTAACAAGTCTTCTTGCATCCATTTGGAGTTAACCTCCTAAACCATTCTTTACCGGCAGCTAAGGCGATCTTTTTTTTTTTAAACCCATTTTTAAGAATTGTGGTAAAGTGAACATAACCTAAAATTTACCAACTTAACTATTTTTAAGTTACAGTTTAGTGGGATTAAATACACCCATAATGTTGCACAACCTTTGCCACCATCCACCTCCAGATCTCTTTTCATCCTGTAAAACTGAAACTCTGTCCCCAGGACACAACCCCCCATTCCCTCCTCCCTCCAGGCCCTGGAAGCTACCGTTCTACTTGCTGTCTCTATGAATTTGACAATTCTAAGTCCCTTATGTAGTTTGTCTTTTCATGACTGGCTTATTTCATTTACCATAATGTGAAGGCTCATCCATGTTGCAGTATATGTCAGAATTCCCTTCCTTTGTAAGGCTGAATGATATAGTACTGTGTGTGTTTATACTACCTTTTGCTTATCCACTCATCTGTTGATGGACACTTGATTGCCTCCACATTTTAGCTACTGTGAATAACGCTGCTATTAACATGAGTGTACAAATATCTCTTCAAGACCCTGCTATCAGCTCTTCTGGGTATATAGAGAACTCATAAAACTCAACACAAAAAGACAAATCACTGTATTAGAAATGATCAAAATGCTTGAATAGACATTTCTCCAAAGAAGATACACAAATGACCAATAAGCCCATGGAAAGATGCTCAACATCACTAATAATTAGGGAAATGCAGATCAGAACTACAGTGTGATACCACTTCACATCTATTAGCGTGGCTACTGTAGAAAATGCAGAAGATAAGTGGTGGCAAGGAGGTGGAACCCTTGTGCACTGTGGTGGGGCTGTAAAATCATGCAGCCACTGTGAGAAAACAGGATGGCATTTCCTTGAAAATTTAAAAATAGAATTACTGGGGGCTTCCCTGGTGGCGCAGTGGTTAAGAATCCTCCTGCCAATGCAGGGGACATGGGTTCGATCCCTGGTCCGGGAAGATCCCACATGCCGCGGAGCAACTAAGCCCGTGCGCCACAACTACTGAGCCTGTGCTCTAGAGCCGTGAGCCACAACTACTGAGCCCATGTGCCTAGAGCCCGTGCTCCGCAACAAGAGAAGCCACCACAATGAGAAGCCCGTGCACCGCAACCAAGAGTAGCCCCCGCTCGCCGCAACTAGAGAAAGCCCGCGCGCAGCAATGAAGACCCAATGCTGCCAAAAATAAATAAATAAATAAAATAAAAATAGACTTAACGTAAGATGATATTCTTCAAACAAAATGTAGTCATGTCATTCCTCTGCATAAAGCTCTCAATGCCTAGTTTGCTCAGGATACAATTATAAATTCCTTAACACACTCCTTACTTACGTTTTCAGCCTCCTCTCAAGCTGCTGTCCCCTTGATCACTCTGCTCCAGTTGCATTGATCTTTCTGATACTAAAACAGGCCAAGGTTCCCCTCTTCCCCCATCTCAGGACCTTCATTTGTGCTATTCTCTTATCTCGGATCGCAGCCCTCTAATTTTAGTGCTCATCAGGATTACCTGGATTCTGTGTTACAAACGGATTTCCGGGCTCCGCCTGCTCAGAGGTTCTGATTCAGGAGGCCTGGGTGGGGCTGAGTTCTCCCAGGTGATGCTGATACGGCTGGTCTGGGGACCACACTTTGAGAACCACTGGTCTGGAGTAGTTTTTGAAAAACTCCTGTGTATCCTTCAGGTCTCAGGTCAAACATCTCACTTCTAAAGGAGGCCTTCTCTGATTCCTCCAGGCCTGCAGGACTCCCTGTTATGTGTTAACACTGCATCTTTTACTCCTCCTATGAAGCCCTTACTGACATTGTATTTGAACGTTTAATTGTGTAAATAGTTTTTTTAATGACTGATTTCCCTGCCAGAATCTGATATCCAGCTCCATCAGGGGAGGGATCATTACTGTCTTGTTCACTGTTCTTTCGCTAATCCCTTGCATGTAACAAATGCTAAATAATTATTTATAGAACGAATGTTGTTACTTCCTTTTCATAGGTAACAGCAAGTGCGTAGAAACATTAATATTCTCAGTGAGTGTGAAGGATGGGTAGGGGCTATGGGGGAATTAGTAGAGCTATACAGAAAGAATAAACGTATTTTGTCAGAGAGCCAGGGCGTATGAGGCAAGAGTCAGGTTTTTTGTTTTTTGGGTTTTTTTAATGGGCCCTACCACATTGTGGAAAGCCCCCCAAATTTTACCTGCCCTGGTGAGGATGCTACTACAGTTATTTCTCAGCTCGTTTTCTTCAGACCATTCATGCTCCATTATATTTTATGGGTGGTTAATTACCTAGTTAGTTTTATCTTTAAAATTGAGGTATAACTGACATGATGTAACCTTATGTTAGTTTCAGGTATACAACATAATGATTTGATATTTGTGTCTATTGCACAGCGATCACCACCACCCGTCTAGCTACCATCCATCACCTACTTCGTTTTTGTTAGTATTCATGTGCTATTTTTTCCTTACAGATATGGAATGTGCAGATGTTCCACTCTTAACTCCAAGCAGCAAAGAAATGATGTCTCAAGCCTTGAAAGCTACTTTCAGTGGTTTCTCTAAAGAACAGCAACGCCTGGGAATTCCAAAAGGTAGGTTTTGCAGTTGGAAGGAGAGAGGTTGGGATCAGACTTTGAGGTATGGTTAGTTTTCTCACCTGTTGGGTGAGAGAGACATTATTACTCACCGCGCTTCAGTCAGCAGCCACGGATCGTTGCAGACCTCTGTTGGAACAAGCACAGACGCATACTGATGCTCCTTCATCCCCCAGGCTTGCCCCTGCCATCTTGGTTTTAGGGCAGTGGTGCCCAAACTTGTTTGCACATTAGACAGGGGATCGTCAAAAAATTCCACAGCCCAGGTCAGGTCCCAGACCAATTCAGTCACAATTGCTGGTCGCATCAGTAATTCTGAAGCTTCTCAAGTGACTCCATAGTACAGACGAGTTTGGAAGGCATGGTCTTGGAGTCATTCTGGGCCACCATTGGATGAACTCGATGAGCTGCATTTCTGGGAGTTGACTCTTTTCTTTTCCATGTCCTTTGGTGAAACGTGTTTACCTTTGGGTGTTCTCGTCCAAAAGGGTTTATTCGGGAATGTAAGGGGAAGTGACCTGCGTTGTCAGAAAGGAAAAAATAAGCCTTGACCAAGCGGCATTTCCTGAACAGTTGAGAGCAGAAAGAACACTTTTCTATTGAGTCAGAGAAACAGAAGCTGTCTTTAGACCAGGCCAGTGCTACCGCTGCATGAGAGGCTTCCACCCTGCCAGACGCAAGCCTTTGGTAGATTCTATGAGTGTATCTGTCTACCTTTCCACGTTTTCTACTTTCCCACAAACCTCAGCTGACAGCCATGCCCAATCACAACGCAGAATACAGTGAATTCTGACCACTGGGTTTTCCAACATCTCATCAAGTCATCGTCTAGATTGAAGGGGGTAACTTTGAGAGCAGGCATGCTGTAGGCATCACAGCCTGCCATCATCTGAGCTCTTTAAGTGTCATTAGCTGGTGTAGTCATGTTAAAACGGGGGTCACGCATGAAGATTATATATCGTCTGTCCTACACTTCTACTCAACGCAGGGCCTGTGATGTGTATGTATTTTGAAGGGTATCAGGTATAATACAGGTACCTAATAATGTCGTTATTACTAAGTATCATTCGAATGGCTTACTGTTACTAATTGCTGTGATGATTACAGTCAGCCCTCCGAGGGTTCCGCATTGGCAGATTCAACCAGCCACAGGTCGGATTCGGTTGGCTGAATCTGCGGATGCAGGAACCCACGGATACAGAGGGCTGACTGTACTCTGCCCTTTTATATAAGGGAGATGAGCATCCACACACTTTGGTATCCGAGGGCGTTCTGAAACCAATCCTCCTTGGATACCCAGGGACAACTGGGCTAACCATGATTAACTAAGATGAAAATAATTAAGCATAATGGTCTCAAGTAAATTATAAGAGTTAAGAGCAGGGAGAGGTGAGTGCAACGTCCAGAGCACACTTGACTTTGTTATTATTGCTGTTAAAGAAGTCATTTGTTCCCTTGTCCCAGGCTTTAAAAAAGTCTGATGGAAATAAGGCACTGAAAGAGGAGATTCCTGGAATCTCGGTGTGAAGATTCTAAGGGTGGAGAATTCTCTGCTCCTTTCTAGTTGATGACAGTGATCTTCTAGCTGGCAAGATAGAGAAGATGGGGCTGTTGGATGCGGGGGTGGGGGGAGGGGGAGGGTTATGGAAGATGCCATCAGGCATTCCTAATTCTGTGAATCCGAGAACATCCTCAGTGAAGGTCAGATGCTTTCGTGTTGTCTCTGAGGCTCAGGGAAGAGTTAAGAGCTCGATCTGCTGGAACGTCATTTGATCTCTCCCCGCAGACCCCCGGCAGTGGACAGAGACCCATGTTCGGGACTGGGTGATGTGGGCCGTCAATGAGTTCAGCCTAAAGGGTGTGGACTTCCAGAAGTTCTGTATGAACGGGGCAGCCCTCTGCGCGCTGGGGAAAGACTGCTTTCTCGAGCTGGCTCCAGACTTCGTTGGGGACATCTTGTGGGAGCATCTGGAGATCCTGCAGAAAGGTAAATGCATGAGGGCAGGGTGAGGTGGGAGCCAGTGGCGGTGGCTTCGAGAGTAGGTCCGGGAGCGTGCCCAGTGGTGCAACGTCGATGCCATCACCTGGGCATCCAATCACAGCACGTGTGGTCTATGGCGTAGACAGTGCCTGGTAAATAGCAAGTGTTCCATAAATGTTAGTTTCTTTTTCTTCTCTGTACTGGAGGTTCCAATTTTAATCTTTAGCTAGACTGTACTCCTGAAGCTTATTGGTATGCAAAGTTCTGATCCTAGACTTTATCTTAGACTCATGTACTGTTTGAACAAGCAGTGCCCACAGCCAGCAACAAGAGAGTTTTTCTTTCTTTCTCCTCTCTCTCTCTCTCTCTCTCTCTCTCTTTTTTTTTTTGATAATCTTAAGACACACTGTCTTGATCCATGGCCACATCCAAGCTTCGTTTCTCAGAGCTTCTTAATAAGCAGGCTTCTCTGCCCACTAACTGGATTGGAATTGCAGTCGCGAGGTACACCTTTTCCATCTGGAGCAGAAACCGGGGTTATGTCAGGACGCCGTGTCGCAACCTTGTAATGACATGGCCTCCCCTACCAGCCTCTTCCAACCTTTTTGGACCAAGTGACTCATGTACCACAGTCCTGGCTGAGTATAGAAACAGCAGCAGGCGGCAAACTTGGGTGTTTTTGCGCTTATTTTTCTGAATTTCTTCTTAAAATAAATTGCAGTTACCAGCAGTCAGCAGTGCCCTCCAGCTGACTGTAAGCCTAGAAGCCTGTTGCCCTCTCTGACCCAGGCCCACCCTTTCCCTGTGGTCACCAGCTCCAAGCCCTGGCGCAGACGCGGTGACGGGGGTGGGGGGCAGGGAGCAGAACTCGGGCTTAGCACTTTTATTCCATATAATACCTTCCTTTGTTTAAGGATATTTTCCACTCTGCAATGCCCAGGAGAGACCCAAATTAGACTCCTCTGGGCACAGAAGTGTTATCTTTTTCTTTTTTCCCTTTCCCTTCAGCTTCTGCTGAAAAAGAAATAAATAAGCAGAGTCGAGAACTAGGTGAATCTGGCCTTCCCTGAAGCAACGCCGTGATCTCGGTGTAACTGCACACAAACCACTCGCCCGTGTTGACGTAACACCTGTGTATAGAGGGAAAAGATACACCAGGCCCAGAACAGATCTGATGCAACATTGGCTTACGTAACACCTGTGTATAGAGGGAAAAGATACACCAGGCCCAGAACAGATCTGATGCAAGCATTGGCTTATAAACACAGCAGTGGGGGGGGGGGGGGGGGGGGGGGGGAGGGGCGGGTATACCAGACCGTGTCGCCCCAATATATGCTGCTAATTCACCGTTTCCCTCCAGTCTTCACCCTGGGGCAGCCGGCTGTCCTGGAGTGTCTAAACCTGCCTCTGATCAGTTATAACTCATCTGTACAGCACCTCCTTGTTTCCAAAGTGCTTGAAACTACGTTTTTCTCATAGGACTCTCAAAACAACCCTGGGACATGAGAAGGGCATGTTCTCTCGGTGTCCTTGTCTGTAAAATGAGGACAGGTTAGGTGGTTTCCTCAACATCACTTGTTTCCTTAAACCTAGGTCTTTTTAGTCGAAATTCCTGTCCTGTGTTCTTTGTGTAATGATGCGGACTCGTGGGGTAGCTGCTGGCCTATCTTCCTGCCAAGGAATAATACAAGCAAATTTAGGAGAATTGGGAAATAATGGAGTGGGTTTGAGAACATCTCCCAACGTTTTCAAGGGAGAGAGGCAGGAGAATCGTCCTTCTCAGGTCCTTGAACGGCTGAACGTGATGTTTGTATTGAGGCTACAGCTTTTGTTCTGTGATTAAACTAAGGCAACCCAGAGCCGAAAAAACATAGCTTTTCTGGGTGGGGTGGCAGGCCAAAGGTACAGGGGATGTTTCAATCTGATAAGCTGCTAAAGCAGAGTTTAATCATTTTATCTCAGCTGGGAACTGTTTTTCTGTGCAGGCATAAACTTGTTTTCCCAGCAGTCTCTGCTCCCAACAAGCTATCAAATACCTGAGGGGAAACTCAAACCAACCCTCTGTCTTTATGTCTGATTTTTACAGTGAAACGTAATCAGACTGTGCCATACAACGGTCAGGGACCACCACCAGATTCCAGGGTCATTAGACGATCCACAGGCTCACCTTAGTTCCATGGAGAGAGCCTTCCTCTGCTTGGTTACCTTCATCTGTGTTCCATTCTCATTCCTATGGAGGTTGGCACCTGGACAGGAGTTTGGTTATGTGGCTCTTCTCTCTCTTTGTATGAGCCCTGTCATATTTCACTAAGTAGAGTCACGTTACTAGCATCTTATCTGGGCCTGAACTTGACATTTGAGGGCAACAGATAAAACACAAAACAAAAACCAGACATCTGGGGCTTCCCTGGTGGCGCAGTGGTTGAGAGTCCGCCTGCCGATGCAGGGGACACGGGTTCATGCCCCGGTCCGGGAAGATCCCACATGCCGCAGAGCGGCTGGGCCCGTGAGCCGTGGCTGCTGAGCCTGCGCGTCCGGAGCCTGTGCTCCGCAACGGGAGGGGCCACAACAGTGAGAGGCCCACGTACTGCAAAAAAAACAAAAAAGAAAACACCAGACATCTGTTGGAAGAAATGGAGGCTCTAAAATCTACCTGCCTAGAGATTGTTCTGAAAAGCTTTGGACCTGATCAGTTTGAGTATTGGCGACTGATTTTGGTAACCTCCCAAGATGCCTTCAAGCCTCGGCTGCTGGCGGCACACGCATGCATCAGAAAGAGGGTGAATGCCTTCCCACCCCTTAGAGGTTACTCACAGAATGTGCTTTCTAAGATATTAAATCCCATTCTGCAGCTACTGGAATCATAAACTTAGCCATACTTTAGTGAGCTCGTCTCTAGACAAGGCCCCAGTCAGGGGAGACTCCGACACCAGCTCAGTCAGTGGACATGCAGATTTCTGCGAAGAGGGGCTGAGATCACTGTGGTCCTTTTGTCCAGGGTCCTCTTCGGCTGAGCATTGCTTGCACGCTGACCTCTTTGTTTCATCCCTCCCCTGTCTGTTGCAGAGGATGTGAAGCCGTACCAAGTTAATGGAGTCAACCCTCCCTACCCAGAGTCGCGCTATACCTCGGATTACTTCATTAGTAAGTTCACCCCCTGCTCTTCCCCCCCTCTTCCTGTCATGGGAACTTAGGAAAGGATCCCTGTCCTAGGCCCTCTCAGGCCCCTGCCTGGTAATTGTACAGAAAATAATATTTCCTTAAATGTAGACTCTTGGTTGTTTTGCTCTTCCCACAAAGCACAAGGCTTCAACCTATCTGCACACGTTTTATTCACCTGCTCGCACCTACACTGGGGTCTTTCCTATGTCTTCAGCATGAAAGCCACACAGAGAGACAATGACTTGCCTCCAAACTCTTATGTGCCCCGTGGTGGCCATCAGAGGTTCGGGTTAGGGATTTTGCCCTGGACCTTGTTCTTTTCCTTTTTACTGGTAGATGTGGCAGCACTTCCTCTGAAATCCTTCCTCCAGAGCATGCCCTGCAGCCTCAGGAACATAAAGCCTTCTCCTCGTAGTACCTTATCCCTCACCAGGCTGCCTGGGTGGCTGGAGGGAGAGAATTAGCCTAGGGCTGTGCTTATCGGATGGCTTTGCTTTCAAAGGGTGTCTTAATCAGGTTTATTTTCACTTTATCTTTTTACTGTTATGATTTTTATCCTAACAACAACAACGAGCTTATTGTGTGCTAGAAATGTTGGTAGGCTTTTTCCATGTATGCTGTCATTGGATCTGCATCGCAACACCCCGAGGAAGGTTGCCACCATTCCTATTTTCGAGATGAAAAAATCAAGTCAGAAAAGGGAAGTGTCTCGTCAAGGGCCTCGGCTCTTGAGTAGTGGAGCAAGGTTGAAAACCCAGGCCCTTTTCGCTTAAAATATTTTTCTTGCATTCCCAAAGGTAGTCAGCTTGTTTGACATTGCGGGGCCCTTGTAAATGGGGAGGAACGGCCTGTTTCCGGTACTCATCTCTCCTCTCTCCAATTGCACATGCTCTGTGTTTCCAGGCTACGGTATCGAGCATGCCCAGTGTGTCCCTCCGTCGGAGTTTTCCGAGCCCAGCTTCATTACAGAGTCCTACCAGACCCTCCATCCCATCAGCTCGGAGGAGCTCCTCTCCCTCAAGTATGAGAACGACTACCCCTCGGTCATCCTCCGGGACCCTCTGCAGACGGACACCTTGCAGACTGACTACTTTGCCATCAAACAAGAAGTGGTGACCCCAGACAACATGTGCATGGGGAGGACCAGTCGTGGTAGGTCGGATTTCTGCTCTAGAAAATTCTAAGAATTACCTGAGTTTGTGAGCTCTCCAGGTCCCACTTTTTCCCCCTTGCTCATAGCCCTGCGCATTCCTCAGTTCTCGCCTTTCCGTCTTAGAATGTCTAGATATTAAGAACTTGGTATCGTGGAATTTTAGCCAAGTCCTTCCTGATGACAAAGGCTCTGGGTCCATGGTGGAACTGAAATCTGGCAGGAAGAACAATCACCTTTCTTATTTGGGTAAAACATTTCACCACGTGATAACTTTGGGTGCTTGTGGCTGTTTTTTAAGGTATGCGTTATTTTCTTGGAGAGGATTTTGCTTAAGGAGGACACAATCACATAAAAATGATTCAGAGACCCTCCTGGAGAGCCCTTATCTCTGCATCATCCTGGTGTTCCGAATAGTCCCTGTCAGACTGCACATCCTGGCTTGGTATCTGAATGACCTCTGCTTCTCAGCCTGGGCTTCCTAGCCTCCTGTGACTTCTTTGGTTTGGGAAGATAGAAGATGGTTAACCAACAGCTTATTTGGAACCAGTCTTCAGCAGTGTGGTGAAAGTGTGTATTTAGCTAGAGGACCAGGGAAAGA